GGAGACGTTTGGGGAGGGGGTGGAGTTGGGGCGGGGGCATGGGCGGGGCTGGGGGCGGGGCCCCGTGGAGTGTCCTCCATTTGGAGGCACAAAATATGGTAACCCTAATTCACCATCCAAAGGACACACTGGAGGATATGAGGATGTCCAGTTTGTGGAACATGGTGAGTGTTATGCTGGGAGGATCTAACTGTTGCTTTAAAAATTTCTTTATAAGGAACATAGGCATGTTCAGCTCATGAAGCCACCATGGCTCAGAGGGAATAAGTCCAGAAACTAGATGGAGGAATCAGGGACTTAGCTCGTTACGCTTGCAAAAAGGCTCTCCTGTGGAAGCCTTGCTAAAGAAACATTTAACATTTGTATGTACAGCAAACCTTTCCCAAATACTCAAGATGGGTGATCAGGCTGACGCTTGAGCTTTCGAAGTGGCTACTTTGGACACCAAGCTTTGGACATCCTGGAGAAACTTTAACTATATTTCACTTTCCATCAAAGAAGGTACATCTCTCTCTCCCACTAACCCAGCATCTCAAGTGAAGCCAGGTCTCAAAATACCCTTTATTTAAATGATACAGTGGTAAAAATACCTGCTCAATATCTACACTATCTACATGGTTGCTGCCACTGCTGGAGATAAAGAAGTATGAATTTTGCCATTGTAGATGCTTTCTTAAGAAGTTGTGTCTTTGGCACAGAAGTTGCAATGTGGTTGCATTATCTGGCAGGTCTTTAAGAAAACTTTACAGTTAGAATTTGGGTCTGTGCTGATGCCTGGGGAACAGAACTTGGTGTACACTGCAGTAGACTAATGTTTGCTAGTAGTTCGTTGATACATTTCCTTGGCTTCTGAAGTTTCAGTATGGTACACAAGTGACATATGCTTTAGTAGGATGGTTGTATAACTATTTCACAACTCTGTGAAATATGACATCCCACGTACATCACACCTCCCTTTCCACCTTTAAATAGCATCTGATAACCCTCCTGTTCCACAATGTCTCTCCACTCACTGCTCTGTGTTTGTAATAAACTCATTCTTTTAGAATCTAAGCTTTTCAGTGCAGGACTTCATTTGACACATTTTACTTTTTATATAACACAAATGTATGCTTACAGCACTATGTAAATAAGAATAATAGAGCTGGGCAAAAGTATTCCCAGAACAATAGTTGGGGTCGGCATCAGGAAAAATCACAGTGAATCACCACCAGTCCTCCTGCAAGAGGAACTCAGATACTACAGCGATGAGCATGGTATAAGAACCTATTAAGAATAGTTGGATCAACTGTTTAATTTTGAAGGCAGGTTCCAGAAGCAGGGGGAGGAACTAAATTTTGGCTTCTGCAGAGGGAACTCTAGTGGATGGAAAGTGGAACTTCAGTTTAGAAGAGATTTCTGCTTGAGAGTGCATATGGCTTAGGATCAGAATAATCCCGTATCAGAAGAGGAGTGACTAAGATACCATTCTTTCTATGGCGACAGATGGGGAAGGGAAGCAGCTAGTGGATTCTCCAGTCCCTTTTTTTAGATTATTACAGCCAAAGGGGCCTATCCTATTTTCATATGCAACTGACTTTTTGTACATGCAGGTCATAGATTAGTACATCTACCTACTCAGTGTGCACGTTCGTACAAGATAATGCGAAAGTTAGGAATAAGAGCTAGCTAACTTGTCTGTTTCTCTATTTCATTCAGATGTTTCTTTGATAATAGACCTTGTTTTTGTTTGTTTACAACCTGATTTTGCTAGTTTAAAATGGTAGACGAGGTTACTGTCTGCCAGAAAAAAAAATCTACCTTCAAAGCACATTTAATTAAGAAGTCCTTAATAGCTAAACCAAATGGACACTGATGGTGGTAGAATGTGAATGCAAATTATTGTATCTAAGGCTTGTGCTCTTACCAGTCAATAAAGTTCGTGAAAATTACACTGTAGTTTTCCTTTATTTTTCAATGCAATTAAAATACTTTATTGGCATAATCAGCTACAAAATCTTTGCTAAAGAAACCTCAGGTATCTGTCAGTGGTCCAGATTCTCAGCTATACACTTTTGTGCTTCTCTGATCCATGAGGGCTGCCAGTTGTCATTTTGATCCCCAGCATAAAACAGAACCTCAAGGCTGCTGTACATTATGTCAACTTGTTTATGGCCCACTAAGGGCTGTTGCACTAGGTGATGAGTGCCAGAATACAGGTCACTCAGATCATGCCTGTGGCATGCCCACTCTCTGCCCCCAAGCCAGGAGTTGGCCAGAAAAGCATGGCAGAGAGCTGGTTACACACCTCTATAACACTGCTTCTCAGACTCATGCCTCTGCATTAATTTCCAGTTTTCTACTTGACCATCCATACCTCTCCTCCACCTCTAGTTCAGCACATTTTCAGCGGCTCAATCTGCATTCAGCAGTAAATCAGTTTATACTTAAGAGATGTTTAAGATACTTTGAAAACATTGCTATATACACATATGATAACAGCTCTGCACAGTGTGGCCTAGGCCTTAGCGGCAGGTAACGTGCAAGGGGGTGGGGGAAAATAAAACAAGGAAAAACTGCACCCTGACAATTTAAGACATATGCACCTTTGCATAAACATATTTCTGCCTTGGCCCATAGTACAGGGAATCTGGTCTATAGCTCAATTCGGTCTGATCCAAACCCTCTGTAATTAACAAAAGTGCAGGGGGGGGTTGAACAAAATCTCTTAGAAGCAAGATGGTCAGTTTCCCAGTTCCACCTGCTTCCTGGTCTTGTTCTTCACTAGGTTGGGAGGATAAGGAATAAGAGAACCTTCTGTTCCCCCGTGGGGCTTTCCCCCAGCCTTATACTGCCTCCATGGTATAGACCTGATTCAAAGAGATTCCCACTGTCTTCAACGGATTTTGGATCATACCCTACATCCTAGCTCTAATGAGCCCCTAGTTAACCCCTTACTTGCCTACATTAATCATGGGAAAAGCCCCTCACAAGCGGTTTTAATTATTTTAGTAATTTCCACACTAGCTACTCCTTCCTATCTATCCACCCCAAAATAATAAAAATAAAAAGGCACTTCTCCTCCAGGCCAAGAAAATAATACAAATGTGGAGTGTGTAAGCCGAGCCGTTTTGGGAGATGAGCCTAATAATGTCAGAAAAATCTTCAGTTAATAACAGGAACGTTTTTAGAAACCAAGGCCACCATGGTCTTGCACTTTGTTAATTTCCCTCCATGGAAAAGGAACACCACTCTATAATAATTCACAAAGACACTGTAAATATAGTTTTTAATTATACAGCTCAACATACAGAAAGAAACCATACAGTATACACTAAAAAAAAAAATCTTAAAAAAAACCCCAAACCGGTTACCTGAAATCAGATTCAACACGATACCCAAAGACAAAATTCTTGTTCGTTTAAGGCACTACAGTGTAAACAATAAAAAATACAGATGCCATGTAATTAATGAGTACAAAAATAAAAATATTATTGATCTAAGTATATTTTTGTAACAAAAGAGCATTGTTTTTAATGTCCTGTAAAATCCTTAATTCCTTATCTTATATTTCTAAATATATTCTCATTAAATTCTTCTCTATTCAGACAGTGCAATACCGTGACAATACGAAGCATTTTTTAAAAGACATATGTGCTCAGAATAGTATAGGCTCATTTTATATACTGCAAGAGATTCACTCAATTTACAAGTACTGTGGAAAAATAAACTTTTTCCCCTCTGGGTTAATGGTTTTATTTTAAAAATTGCAAAATGTGATGCTAGTTACAACGGAGAATGCTAGTTACAACAAACTAAGGGTCCTATTCTGCAAATGCTGTCAAGTATGATGCTTATGTGACTAATATACCTTTAATTTGAATAGCGCTGCTCTAAGAAATAAGCTTGTCACTCTGCGGTGTTTGCTGGGTCAGCTGCTCTGCTTTTAACTAATCCAGTACTTTAAGAGCATCAGTACACAAAATGGTGTAAAAATTCTGTTGCTTGATGCAATTTAAATTGAGCATGGGTAGCAATGGCAGGGCTTGATGCTGTGCAAGGTGTTGAGCAATTCCCAGAGCTTGAGGTACTCAGCAGCTTGCAGGATTGAGGCCTACATGAGCTTCACTAATACAATTTTAGGCCTGAGGGTACATTACACAGAGGTTAGTTTGTAAAATAAGTTAGCTTTCTCAACAATAAATATTGATGGATAAATTCACAAAGAGCATTCTTGCCCCAGCCCAAATACTTTCAATAAGGAATGAATTCAATTAAAACATTCTGTTTTGTATGACTAATTGTAAGTATGCACAGTCCTGTTGAAATTGCAATGCAAGCGGTCAGACTGTGTTGATTTCACTTTTAAAGAAGACACTATTTGCAAAGGAGCCACACATCTATTGCTCAACTTATTTTAATTGTAGAGTTGAAAATGAGACAATTCCAGTTCATATAAAGTTCAAACAAGGCTCTTTAGAGACAACGTTGCCACTCCTGATTCAGAAATTCTACTCCCCGCTTGACTGAACGTGCTGTAGTAGCTGATTACAGTACGCTGGAGTTCGATGCTTATGTTCAACTGCTTCTATTTCTGTCACCAGTAATTCTGGATATAAAACACTTCCTTCTTTTAAAACTTCTGTAAAACAAGAACATGCATTCATAATGATCAAAAGATATGTCCTTCTCTACATATGCTTTGAAGTGCCTGAAACCTGACCTGGAAGGACAACATTTAGAGGTGAGAAACCAATATTCAGGCTTCATGCTAATTTAATCCCTGTACTCTTTGGGGCTGTTCATAAATTACATAACACATTTTCTGGTGATTTTCAAGACCCACTCCTACCCCTTGTAACACTGAAACAAACATGGAAAATTAAGGACTCCTCCAGTGCATGATGTAAATTATGGATAGCCCCTTTGCTGATATTGGTATTTGCAATGTTGATAACCATCTGCTTGAAAATGGACTGAAGGTACCAATTCATTTCATGTAGACCATGAAACAGCTATCATACGGTAGTATATTGCAGTGACGACTAACTTCTGACAGATCTGAGGCAGTGACTTAGTGGTGAAAACGTTCTATACCCCATTACATTTCCCTACTCTATCGAGTTATTGGAAGGTGTAAGCAAACAAGGGAAACATGGACAAGCAACTACTACAGGAAAAGCGTAAACAAGGCAAGCCTGCTGGGAAAGCAGAAGAAGTTAAAGAATTGTGCAAAATGGAGAAGAAATCACAAAGATCGGACAAGAAAAAGTTCTGGAAAGAAGAGGCTCAACAACTAGAGGTGGTGTCAACAAAACAAGATCTGAAAGTGATATACAAGAACGTTAAGTTGTCTGGAAACAATTAGGCCAACGATGTGAGCAGTAACCAAGGCTACCGCTGAACTGACAGCAAATGCAGATTATGTGCTGGAAGTACGGAAGGAGCATTTTGACAAAATGCTGAACCATGTAGTTCATCCAGATACAAGCATTCTATACAAGCTAGATGAACAGGGCAGCTTAAAAGGGAGAATGGATATCAGTATTGAACCACCATCAGAAGGAGGACTAGAAAGTGCACGGAAGCGGTTAAAAAATGGGAAAGCTGAAGGAACAGACAATATAACAGTTGAGCTGCAAAAAATGCTAGCCGGACAAGTGCTATCACAAGATTTGGAAAAATATACCAGAAGCTATGGGAACAAGAGGAGATACCGGATAACTGGCTAAAGACACTAGTTGTACCAATCCTGAAGAAAGGAGATCCCACCAGTCTGAATATTTATAGAGGTATAAGCTTATTATCAGTGCTGGGGAAAATCACGAGGAAAGTAATTAACAGATTAAGGCCAGTTTTAGAGGAAGTAGTAGGTGAGGAACAGTGTGGCTTCAGACCAGTCCAAAGTTGCATGGATCAGATATTCATGCTCGAACAGTTGATGGAAAAAAAGCAAGAATGGGGACTAACAATGTTTGCTGTTTTCATCGACTTCAAGTAGGCATTTGATTTGGTTTGGAAGAAAGCACTATGGAAAGTAGTAAAACCATATGGAGTCCCAGATAGGATAATTTCAATTATAAAACTTACGTAAGAAATCTCCTCTTGTGCCGTAAGAATTGGTGAAAAATTAAGCAGCTGGTTCAAGCTGAAGTTTGGTGTAAGACAAGGGGGCATGGAATCACCAAGTTCTTAAACTGGGAATTAAGAATGTTTGACAAATTTGAGGGTGTGATATTGGGTGATCTAGAGTTAAGCTCTTTAGCTGATGCAGATGACATTGTACAACTGGCAGACACCTCTGAATTCATGATGATACTCTTCCTTACTTTGGAAAATTGGTGTAGTCGACTTGGACTTACAATAAATGCTAAGGAGATTAAGTGGTTGCATCTTGAAAAGGGACAATAGACAAAATGGTGAAATGCAGCAGCAGTGAAGCTATAGAACAAGTAAAATCATATGTGCATCTAGGAAGCTTGATCAGTGCCGATGGTTCTATCAAGGACGAGGTTAAAAAGAGATGTGCTTCAGCTACAAATGCTGCACAGAAGTTGATGAAATTATGGACTGAAAAACATCATGTTGGTACCAAAGTGAAAATTTATCAAGCCAGTATATTAACAATATTACTCTAATGAAGCAGCTGCATTAAATGAAACAGACATCAGAAGGCTGGAGGCAGTAAAAATGAGAGTTGTTTGGAAGATGGCAGGTGTAAAAGTGGAATGATTTAAAAAGAAATGATGAAATGATGAAGTTAGATGGAGAGTAGGGTGTAAAAGCAGGGTATAGGATTGGCTGCAACTGAAAAGATTACAATGGTGCTGACACTGTAGAAGACAAACTGAAAATATGGTGCCAAAGAAAATAATGCAACACAACCAAGGTCAGTCTGACCTAAGGTCAACCACTGACTAGATGGTGGAACATTGTATGCAGAGGTATGACCAGAGTGGGCTTAAAGGAGGAACAAGTAGTGGACAGGAATGAATGGTGTCACTAGTGCTTCCTGTGTCTGTAAAGATGCTTTGGGATGAGAAGAAGCTATCTAGTTTCCAGAGAGGACAAATACAAATACACTCACCCACCTATTTGTATCCAACACTGAATATTCAATCTAAATTGCTCATTAACCTCTAGCTCATTAAATGACTTACCTAAGACTGCCCGTTGGATGTTTTGGTCAGGGTCATCCAGATGAATCAACAGTTCTCGGTAAAGAAACTCAATATTACTTTTAAGTACAGTTTTTTCATCATCATTTCTTATACATTTAAACCAGTTAGTTAAGGCTTGAGCAGCTGCCAGTCGTACATCGTGTGCAGCATCATCCAGCCGCTTTAAGAGTTCTAAAAAGAAGCATATACGTAATTGAACAAGTAACATTGGACAGATGTGAGAAATCATAAAATAAAAGACAAATCTTCAAATCTTCAAATGGTTTCTTCTTCTTTTATATTGCGAGACACTGCAAAATACAAATGAACTTCATGATTGTTAAAAGCTAAAGTTTATAATGTTGCTTCTGTCACCATTCTTTGAGTTCCTGGAATATATCAAATATACTGCGTGATTATTAGGTACAGTGTATCATTATTCGATTGCTACTGATTTAGCTGATTTTTATTTAAAAGCAAATCTCCATAAAGCTATTATGAATTTATACTCAGGCATTACAAAAATACAGATGGAAATTTAATTAGAACTTGAAGCATCAACACTTGTTTCAGCAAAATATTTCTGTCACTTATTGTTATTTGAGCTAATATTGTATATTAAATTACTATGAGTTTGAGACTATCTAAATGTGTACAGGACTGAGGTACTGCATTCATGCAGTCCAGTAGGATGTGAAGAGGAAATCCTTTGATAATTGTTCAGTGATAGTACTGTATATTTAGGCCTTATAAAATGAGTTGCTGGTTTCCTGCTGTGCTATGTGGCAAACACATTAATGACTATAGCGCCCTACTTGGGAAAAAGACACATTTAAAATCACCATTCCCGATACCCACTCCCCAGCAGATTGTGCTGAGGACCACTTAGTTCAGCACTTAGCTACTATGCTGATGGGTGCTATAGAAAATCCTAAGAAAGTCAAATAGTAAAGCTATTCGACTGTATGGAGTTGCAGATTCTTTTTTAATACAAATGCACATTATCCATTCCTTCTGGCTTTTTTTTTGCATGTACATCTACACATTTGTCTGTATAGAACAGTACTACCATTACTCTTTGAAGTGGAGTCTATTTATAGCATTACCTCATGGTGTGCTGTCAGCATGATTTTGAACAGTATTGGCAAGAAGCAGAGCATAGCTACTGTTTGCATAATGTATTTCTATTCTGCCTGCTCTACAGTTAAAATTAGGGTTGCCAACTTTCTAACTGCACGAAACTGAACACCCTTGCCCCGCCCCGTCTCTGAAGCTCCACCCCTGCTCACTCCATGCCCCCTCCCTCCTTCTCTCTTTCTCTCCCTCCCACCCTCATTCAACAGGGTGGGGGGAGGGGTTGGGATGTGGGAGGGGGTGAGCGTTCTGCCTGGGAGTGTAGGCTCCAGGGTGGGGCCACAAATGAGGGGTTCAGGGTGCGGGAGAGGACTCAGGGCTGGGGCAAGGGGATGGGGTGTGGGCTCCAGCTGGGGGTGTGGTCTCTGGGGTGGGGCTAGGGATGAGGGATTTGGGGTTCTGGACGGGGCTCAGGGCTGGGGTAGGGAGTTGGGGTATGTGTGGGGGGTGGATTCTGGGAGGGAGTTTGGAGGTGGGAGGGGGCTCAGGGCTGGGGCAGAAGGTTGGGGTACTGGAGGGCATGTGGGGTGCAAGCTCTGGGATGGATTTTGGGTGTGAGAGGAGGTTCCGACCTGGGGCAGAGGGTTTTGGGTATGGGCTCCGGCCAGGCGGTGCTTACCTCAGGCAGCTCCCGGAAGCGACCGGCACGTCCGGCTCCTAGGTGGAGGGACCAGGGGGCTCTGCACACCGCCCCCGCAGCTCCCATTGGCCTCGGTTCCCGGCCAATGGGAACTGCAGTGCTGGCGCTCGGGAGCCTGCCTTTAGCCCCACTGACCAGACTTTTAGCAGCCTGGTTAGCAGTGCTGACCGGAGCCACCAGGGCCCCTTTTCGATCGGGCATTCCGGTGGAAAACCGGATGCCTGGGACCCCTAGTTAAAATGCGCACTATTTGATGCCATCTAAGTTGGGAATGATGCAGATGAGGAGCAGGCAGGTCTTGAAGAGGAGAGGATACTATAGAGTAAGGTTCCATCTAGTGGGCAAACACACAATAGCACTATGATACATTAGGCTTTGATTCTGCAAAAATTTTATGCATGTTCTTCACTTTACACACCATAAGTAGACCCAGTGACTCTAAGTGAAACTATTTAAAGCTGATAAAGTTAAGCACATGTGCAAGTCTTGGCAGGATCAGGACATTAGAGTGCATCCTGTCAAACAAAAATGCTGAAAAATGCACAAAACTGTACAGCCTCTTCCCAAAGTTTGTATGTTTATGAAATTATTAGAGGAAAAATGTTACCCATGAGCCCTGATAAAATACCAGATCAAAGAATGTAGAAATTGGCTTCCTTTAGATAGTGCATGTGTACAGGACAGTGAAGGAATGAATGGCTGGGAAAGCAATTTATTCACTCAGGGTAACACTTACCTCTATGTAGAGAACCAGCACAAGATCTATGCACTGTTTAAATTTCACTTAAGCCATATCTGGGCCTCATACTGGCCCTGTACAGAGGTTCAAGGCTGGAGGACAGTGATAGAAACTGCAGAAGGGCTAGACAGATTGTGAAAAAAGTCTTAGGGTCAGCCTGTGACCTGCCTAATGCACCAGTCCCATATTTTTCATGCTCAAAAACTCTGCTTTAGGTGAAAAAGCAAATGCAATGTTAGCTATGGAGTTGCTGACATCTCCTCTATAAGGAAGAATTAAAATATTATTTTAAATTCTAAGAATATTTACAGCATTTAAAAAAAAAATCATACCAGGATAAATGTTGTTGAGTTTATCTAGATCAAACTGCTTCCCACAGATATTTAAAATAACACTGACAATGCGACAAGCCATTAATCGAGTCATTTTAGAATCTTCATCCAATGTGGCGATTACCTGAGGCATCAGTGCATCTTCTAGTTTAAAAATCTACAATCAATAAAAAAGTCATATTAAAATAGTAGCTTTTCAGTCACTTGCAATCCGCGTACTAATTAGTTATTTTAACATTCAGGAGATCTGTCAAAGATGCTATCTGCTTTAAAATCATTTTTGAAAAGCCAATTGCTAGCTAATATTTATAATACTACTTAATTTTTGCTGTTTTATTTTTTGCATTTCATTCAGCATGGAGAATGAAAATAGACTAGCAGACCGTCTTTTGATGAGCACTTTCGGGGAAACATGCAGTTGAATCTTGTGTAAGGGGCAAAGGCATATGTTTAACTTACTTTCATGTATTTTAAAAAACATTTTGATAAGACTTCCATATTTTGGAGATGATTATTTTTCTACACTAGTAGATAATGCTCATGATCTAAATGGAAAATTTAAATAAAGGCCTTTGTAATACAGCATGCTTGTAGTTGAATTTCATATTTTTGTCTTTTGTAATATGTATATTCTGTACTGCATATTACTGTAGCAAGGTACAATGGTCTTGATACAGCAAAACACTTAAGCATGTGCTTAATTTAGGCATGTAAGTAGTCCCTTCGAAGTCAGTGGGAGCAGGAGTGGCGCCAGGGTTTTTGCCGCCCTATGCGGCAGCACGCCTCCTCTGAGCATTCAGGGGGCCTGGGGTCTTTGGTGGCTCCGCATCTTCAGGGCACTTCGGCGGCGGGTCCCAGAGCGAGTGAAGGACCTGCCGCCGAATTTCCGCCAAAGACCGGAGCGGAAGGACCCCCCACCGCCGAATTTCCACCGAGGGCGGCAAAATGCCCCCCCCCCCAATCCTGCCGTCCTAGGCGACTGCCTAGGGTCGCCTAGTGGAAGCGCCGGCCCCGAGTGGGAGTGCTTATGCATGTAGTTAAGTCTGTGCTTAAGCATTCTGCTGAATCAGGGCCTATCACAGACACCTCTCCCCCCAGATTAGGTAGTTTTAATAGCACTTTTAATGTCACTTGTTTCTTTATTTTAAAAAGCAATTCTTTATAGTTAATTAAATGTTAAACAGAATGAGGGATGATGTTAATGAGACCAGTAGATTAACTGTGGCCCATAGTATTCTCAATGTGACCTGCACCATAACCAACCTCATCTTACAGTGAGCTGTATAAGAAAAAACAATATGATTCAAAGATGCCACTTGGACCTAGATGAAGCTTTGCCTAAACCTGCTCCCTTTTCCCAGTATTCGTCCACAGGTGATAGAAAAATAATAAAAGACAAAAATACTCTATGTGAGTTCATTCACAAGCATAGTTATTGTTTGGTTTCACCCACATAGTTGTTACTGGGACATTTGACATACTGGATGAGGTACACCACACATTTTGATAGGCATGGGTAGGACCCCAGAATCTCGAAAGGTGTATTGTGGAGGGTATTGATCATCGTAGTGGTGGAGATATGTCTGCAGATTTTTTTTTCTGTTATTCAGGCAGGGTCTGGTGTCACTTTGACTTCTTGTGTCCTGGTCTGTTGGGAGCTTGCTTCTGATGATGAGCTTGGTGAGGCTGGGGGTTGTTTGAAGGCCAGAAGAGGAGGATCAGTAAAGATTTCTTTCAAGATGTTGTGCCCATCAAGTATAGGTTGTAATTGTTTGATGATAACCCATATGGGTTCCAGTGTGGGGTGACAGCTAGGGATGTGAGGTTGGAGGGAGGTTTCTGTACAGAAGCAGGTTCTCTTGGGAGTATTTGGGTGGCCCGTTTCATGATATGATCTATTTCTCTGGCAGAAAGTGTCCTTTTTTGGTGAAGGTGGTTTTAAGTGAGTTAAGGTGTGTATCCTTTGCAGATACTCTGTGGTAACTGAGTGCCTGCCTAGAGACAAAACATTTCTTGGTTACCCCACACTGGAAGCCATACAGAGTCAAAACAATTACAACTCATACTTGATGGGGTCCACTTCCTGAAATAAACCTTTCCCGAACCTCCAATCCCCCAACCTCACCAAGTTCAGCATTAGAAGCAAGCTCCCCACACAGCAGGACACAAGAAGTCAAAGTGACACCAGACCCTGCCTGAATAACAGAAAAAAAAATCTGCAGCCATAGCTCCACTCTACGAAGATCAATACCTCCCCAACACAGCTTTCAAAATTCATGGGTCCGATACATGCCTATCATAACACGTGGTGTACTTCATCCAGTGCATCAAATGTCCCCAAACAATTATGTGGGTGAAAACAAAAAATCACTATGCTCTCAGATGAACTCACATAGGAAAATGGTAAGAGACCAAAACATCATATCACCCATGGGTAAATACTTTTCACAAAGTGATCATTCCACATTTGACCCCTCAGTCCTTGTCCTCAAAGAAAACCTTCACAACACCTTCAAAAGACAAGCCTGGGAACTTAAATTAACAACTCTGCTGGACACTAAAAATCATGGACTTAAGAGAGACACTGGTTTTATGGCTCATTACAATGAGTAAAATACCCTACTGCCTACTACCTTCCTTTGCCCTAAGTCTGTAGCAGTGTTAACAGCCCACTTCATTTTAAGTGGTCTCCTACAATGAATGTGTACCCCTTATGCTTACCAATCTGTCACCCTTATATTTAGCTGGTTACCTTCCCCTGAATTGAGGAAGAGCTCTGTCAAGCTCAAAAGCTTGCCCTTCTACCAACAGAAGTTGGTCCAATAAAATATATTACCTCACCCATCCATATTACCTCTCAGTCACATCCTGGGACCAACATGGCTACAACAATATTGCAAACATCTTAAAACATTACATTTTTTAAAGGATTAATTTTGTAAAGGGTAAGTTTGTGTTTACTGTGTGTGTCCTGTGTTTTCCTGCCTTGGTTTTAAAGTACATTCGTTGGGGAAGGAGGAGTTTACCTCTTTTGATGAAAGCATTTCACTGTAAATAAGAGCCCAAAGGCATGATACAGCTGTAGTGCGGATGGCAGCTGCTGTTCTTCCAGCATGCCACTGCAGATTAGGAGCCAATATGTCTTTTATCACGATCTCAAGGTAGCTAAGAAACTGCCTAAAGCCCAAAAAAAAAAAAAAGCAAATAAAGGTTCATGAGAAAGTGGTAAAGAGATTTAAAGGCTGAAATGGAGAGTTTTCAGTATTGGAAACGAAAGAGAGAGAATAGGAAGAACATAACATAAAAAAATTAAAAATATATGTATCCAATATGATTATATAAATATATTAATATAATTTAATTGCTTATCTTTTTTCAGCTAAATATCTGGACTTCCAACAAATAACTAGCATATTCAGGGAAAGAGGAGTCTGGACATTTTTCCATTTCAGACTCTGCTAATGACTTGCTGTGTTAATCTTGGTAAGCTGTTTACTTTCTCTGTGTATGAATTTACCAACTGTGGAGATAATACACGCCCAACTCACACAAGTGCTGTGAAGGTTCATTAAAGTTTGTGCAGCCCTTTGAGATAGTCCAATGAACGATGTTATATACAGTGAGAACTGTATTTGCTATTGATGAGACCCATATTACTGATATTACACCAAATCCACACTGGAATAATTCAACTTTTCCTTCGCTCAGAAGCCACTCTCCCTAGGATAAGAGCTTTGTAGGATTTTCTGGTGGTGCCAGCATCAATGCAAGGGTTTTTTTGGATTCTGGGGATGTCCACCATGCTTGTGTGTAGTGGGTGCCACCTACATGCAGTACACCCATTTCATTATACAAATGAATGAAATTATATGTAAATCAGTGATGCCTTTGATCATGAACAAGAATTAAACCATTTCTTCCTCCTTCTCCTCTGTTGAATAAGCTCTTAAAATACCGAAAGCTGTTGTAAATCTAAACAACTATACCTGATTGCTCATCTAATTCCAGCTAAAACAATCCTCATTTTAAATTGAGTATAAAAAGTGTATAGACTTTGGACACCAGCCCCCCCCTCCCCTCCTCTCTCTCTCTCTCTCACACACACACACACACACACACACACACACACACGCCGCTGCTGACCTCCCCAAAAGTCCCTTTGGCTTCAGGGTGAAGTAAGTGGCTCCTATAAAGATAGGACATGGATTGGAGGTACACAGTGTGCAGATGTCAGTGACAAACACTAATCCCCAAACATTAAAAAAAAGTGACAAAGATTTCCTTAGTGGCCATGTATCAGTCCAACAGGGACTGCTAGTGACCTTTTGCCACAGGAATGTAACTATTACTGCCAGTCCTTACTAGATGGATAGGAAGGGCCTTATCAGGTAGGTATAATCTGAATAGAATATGGAGAGTTGATTTAAATAATCTGATTGGCTAGCGTGCCAGGCATTAATTCTCTAGCACACTGATTCTCTAGTTCTCTATACATACAAATTGGAAATCTATATCTTCTATATGATTAAAAAAAAAAACGTGTGTGGATTTTAACTGTTTCAGTTTATAATAGCAATCAGAATTAGAGACATGCATGATTATGTTCTCATTTCTGCTTCTTGCCCAGCAGGTGGCACTTAAGAATCAGCAATAAAAAAGAAACATAACCTCTAAAATCAAATAAATATCTGACAAAAACCTTTGATTTACAGTTTCTACAATTTACACATTTTAATGCATTTGTAAAGTTTTTTCAAAAGATAATTGTCATTTTCTACACAACACGTTACTAGGAAAGCCCTAAGTGTGGACCATTATTACTTCAAATTTCCTTTTAGCTCTAAGGTGGTCTGTGCTAAGTGACCCTTAGCTACTTTAGTGTTTTTGGTAAGGCCTTCTTTAAACAGTTAAAGAAAATCTGTCAAAACATAAAGGTAGATTCCAGCAGCCTTTCCTACTTACTATAATGGCATGCTATCTGTGAAGAATAATTTCTTCAAAAAATGCCTTGTATTTGGTATCAGTGAAGCAAATCAGGGCTAATATTGTAAGACTTTTAGACAAAATGAGATGGCCACACAAAAGCTGCTATTAAGGTACATGTCAATCTGAATAATTAAAATGTGTAAGAAGAAGAAAGCAAATTACTTTCACATAATGAATGCTATTATATGACTGAAAGAAAGTGAACACCATTTTCTAGGATGAGGTAGTAGTTCAAACATTGGACTCTCTCTGGTTACTTCTACAATGATACTACGTATTTATGCATTTTCATTACTATATGTATAACAGTAAGAATGTACTTTATACAATGCTAAAATCTCAATCATATTTGTACAGGCCCACTTCTAAATATGAGCTATCTCCATTCAATGAGATTTTTTTTCCTCTTTGTTGATAGCATTCACTAATTTGAGACTTCGTCTTCACTTGTTTATAAAACTAACATGATTCTATGTCCATAATAATACCTAGCTCTTACATACCAGTTATCATCAGTAGATCTCAAAGTGCTATTACAGAGTAAAAAAATCATTATTTCCATTTTACATATGCAAATAGTTATACTCTACCCTTATTTTCTTTAGATGTCAATTATTTTAATACTTTTTCTTCTAGATTTATCCTTTTTCTCCATTTTCTGTTCTACAACTGTAATTAGCAAATTCAATTTACTATTAAATTGAATTATTTACAGTTTATTTTATAAACAATATTAATATGCTATATCCAAATCAATTTTAACAAAATACAAGTCATTTCCATATGAGAGGGCAGAAGCATATCATCGTAATTTCCACAGTATCCACCTGAGGTGGTGGGCCAGAAACTCAAGAAACATTGCTGGTGCTAACTACAATCTAAGACGTGAACTGGGGTACAGGTGGCTGAGAAAGTTTCAGTAGAGCAGTTTATCCTGATCATCCCAATATGGGGGAAGAGACTTAGTGGTATGTCATTGGCCTGAGATACTGGCCGAGTCCCTAAGCTTGATGGGCAATTACATGGCTGCAGACAGACCCCCTTCCAAGAAAGCAGGTGGTAGATATACTGGGTCCAGAACGCTCTGAAGCATGTGCCAGACAAGGAGGCTAGCCTAATTGGAACTAGGCCTCTGAATGTTTCCAACGGCCCAAGGTCACAGCAAGTCTGCTGGTCCCAGGTCCAACCTGGAACAGAAACCCAGAGAATATTCGGGCCTACAGAGAAGGACTTCTGGGGAGGGGTGGGAGGAGAGAGAGAGAGACTTTCCCTGAGTAATGAACAGGCTATGACCTCTACTTTAGGGAACACTTCTGCCTTTGGGAAATAGGGTCACTTCTGCTGTGACTGCCCCTTTACAGAGTGTAACTATGGGCAAGTCCGGACAGCTGAAAACTGGGCAAAAAACGAGGCCCTGCTAAAAATGGTAGTCTCTGTACAAATTAACAGGGTGGAAGTGTAAGGGCCAGGTGAGTCAGAATGCAGCCAGACATGGCTTAAAGAACAGTTGATGGACAGTCGGGGTATCCCAGGAGAAGCTGTCTTCCTCCAGTGTGTGCACGGAGATGTACAACCATTACAGAAGTGCAGTATTGGTGGGGAAACCTATGGGAAACCTCTTTGTAGCACTAGCATCTAACCTGACATACCCAGTAATCCTAAACAGAGACTGGAGATATTTTAGAGAAGTCATAAAGGAGTGGGGCATTCACTCACTTGAGAGGATTACCCTGATCACAGAGACCCAAAGATCTGAGGGTCCAAAGGAATTGGTGGGGTTAGGTGAAACAGACAACCCCAGGGAAGGGACTTCCCACCAGGCAAAAGACTCTCTGGTAAGAAGTGAGGCAGGGAGGCAGCTGCATAGCATCCTAAGGTGCAGGGCTTAGCTGCCAACCATTACTTACTTGCCCAGATGGGGCCCAGGCTCCCCTACCAACACCTAAAGAAGCTCAACTACTAAAGCCTAACCTTTGGCGGGGAACCTAATTGATGGAAGACCCTGAAGATACAAGGATCTGGACCACAAGGCCCTAACCCAAGAGAGAAGCCCTGAACCTCCTAGTTGATCCTGAAGACCTCATTACTGGACTTTTTATTTATACCCTGAAAGGGCTGGACTTGCAAACATGACCTGGCCAGAGGGCTGAGTCATTGAGGACAGACGTCTGCAGGATAGAGCAGTGGTGAGAAAGGGGAACACCTGGGAAGAAACAATCCACCACACCCCCGCCCAACCAGTAGGTGGCATTGGCAGTGAGTGTTTCCTGTCACATGGGGTGCTGGGCATTCAGAGTTTAGCCTAACAATAAGTAACTAATAAAGTTACTAAGCACCCTGAGAGAGCTAAGGACAGTATAAAACAAATGGAAGATATGGTACTGGCCCCAAGGACCTTGCACTCTAAATTACAGGTCAGGGATGTAGTGCATCAGCATACAGCAAATGGTTAAATCTCAGATCAATGCAAATGCTTTCCAAATTGCTTCTGACCTCCCTTATTTTTAGCGGAAAAAGACTTACAAATCTTGTGCCTGATCCTGTAACCACTCATGGGAGAAGAAGTCCTTATTCACATAAGTAGTCTCACAGACTTCAATAGGATTATTCACATGATTAAGTGTTGCAGTTCAGGCCCCAGAGTGGTCTGAATATACAACGTAGGCAGAGATGTTTAGAAACATGGCTTAAAACCTTTCAGTTCAAAAAGGAGGGTATAAATCTTCAGTCCTTGCTTGTAACAGCCAGCCAGCAAGACACAGTTCCATTCCTAAAATTCTCATCTCAGCTCTCACAGCAACCATAGCCTTTCTACAGTAGGTTTTTGTTTTTAAAAACAAACAAAACCAAACCATCCACCGTTGCCCAACCAGAGTTTTTTACTTCTGTGTCATTCCAAACTCTCCTGAGCAGGGTTAGATAATATGACAGTAAAAATGTCAGAGACCTGTAGTACACGGTGAGAGTTCCCCTGAAACGCTAATGCAGCCACAGCGGTTAAATAACTACCATGAACTTGATTTTTGAATAACATTGTACTGTTCAGGTGGTACGTGTGAAATCAGAGCTGTACCTACCCCTGAGAGTTGATGGTCTCATTTGCTTTCTGGAGCAACTGTGATAAAATAGTGAAAATCTTTAAGCGCATTAGTGGGTCTTTGGTTGGCTGAAGACACGTCTTAAGGATGAGAATGAAATCTTGAAGGGCTTCACCTATTATAGGACCTAGAAAATAAATATTTAAATCTTGATTGAATTGTATTGAAATATTTATTTATTTTAATCTTGCATTTAAATGTTTAGCATATAAATCCAGTAAAATCTGTAAGGTCAGCTACTTCTTTTCTTTTCAACCCTTAGCCGAATAGTCGGCTGTAGCAACAGTTCGCCATTTGGTCTGTTCCTGTGCGGCTGAAAGGGCTTGATGGGCCAAGAGTCCAACATCGGAACAGACTTGATGCACCCATTTAATAAGGGGTCTCTGGTGTTAAATTGATATTTTACTTTGTGTACTGCATCAGTCCTTGCAAAATAACTATGACACAACGTACCAGTTATCAGAGTCCTGAGTGGGACAGAAGAGTGGCTATGTTAGAAAGCCCTTCCACTGCCCACTGGAATGACAAAGGTTACAACTGCCAAGCCACGAAGCAGCTGGAGCCTGTTAACTATCCTGATTTATTTGTAAGAAAGAGGTCAACTCCTGGGAGGGTTTTAAGCAGCTAGTGTGACCAAGCCACTACTGACCTGGTTGTAAACTTCCAGTAGGTTTCAATCTGTATTTGATTCAGACTATTTACAGGCTGGGCTGTATTTTGTTTTACATTGCTCTGAGGAAGAAAGAGCAGAAGACTGTTTTTAGGTTGCCTAGAAGCCAGGTGATACTCTACTCTGCTCTGGCAAGAAAAAAAAAAATCAAAGAAATATTATGGTTCACGAGCAGCCTTATTTTTATATTGTTTGGAGCAAGTGAAAGCTTCCAATGACTATTGTGAGGAGGTTAGCTGAGAACTTTACTACACCTTGGTGTTGAAGACCTGGGGAAGAAGTATTCTCATGAAGGTATTGATGTTTGGTGGAATCAATCCTGATGGCTGGGTAGCTTTCAGAGCCTGAGTGTAAGCTGCTGGGGCATGGGCAGCCTACCTAGTGGGTGCAGCAATTGAACAGCGCTGTTGCCCAAGTCCCACGAACCGGAGTCAGCTGACATGGGCCAGTTGCGGGTGTTTAACTGCAGACTGAAATCAATGATAATATTACCACTGAATTCAATGGGGCCATGATTTCATCCCAAGATTCCAGACAGCAGGATGGTCTGGAGTCCCCTCTTCCCTGAAGGCCCTCCTTTACAGAAACCAAGAAGATCCTTAATGTCTCCTGTCTCCAAAGTATTTATATAAAAGGACTTGTTCAGGATGGTGAACCTCAAAACATTGGACAGAACAATTATAGAAGTGCTATTTCTTCTCTTTTCTATCTTATCTCAGGCTTTTTGCATTTTGAAGATTGTTATGAATGTTTTAGTTTACTATTCTATTTGAAATAAGTTCATACTTTTCAAATAAATTTTCTAGTCTGTTAATACTTTAAAATTTCAGCATGGGAGATTACATAAATAATCTATTCTTCACTCCTAAACAATACACAAACAGTGTTAACCCAGTATTTTTAAAGCTAGCCTCCTCAAAAGGGAAATTAAAGTTTGTGCCTATTTTTGATTCATTGTGATGATTAAGACCAGAAAGGTTTTGGTCTTTTTATTCAAAAGAATTCTTCCTTCTGCATCTGTGTTCACCTCAGAAATACTAAGGCCAATCTACACTAGAAAATTAGATCTGTTTACCTACATCAGTCAGGAGTGTGAAAAATCCATACCTCTGAATGGCTTAGTTAAACTGACCAAAGTCCCTATGTAGATAGTGGTAGGTCACTGGAAGAATTCTTCCATTGACCTAGCTATCATCTCTTGGGGAAATGGATTACCTATGCCAATGGGAAAAACCCTCCTGTTGGCATAGGTAGTATCTACACTGAAGCGCTGCAGTGGTGCCTCTGCACCGCTGTAGCATTTTAAGTGTAGACAAGACCTTAGTCTTGCCCTCTTTGTATTTGCAGAAGAACTAGAGAACTACAGTAGGAGCTCCCTCAATCCTACCTGAAAGGAGAGAGGTATCTGCATTTTTAGCAAGAACCCTTCTCCCAAGTGATTATCAGGAGCTTGTTTATGTCTGCTTTCATTAACATTATTTTAGTCACAGGATTGTGAACAGTCTGACTAAAATCTACTTTCCCTTAGCAACTGCTCAGGTTTTAGTTTCTTGCGGATGTCCATCCCAATAATTTTCCAGTCATTCAAAGAATCCTCCAGCAAACACAGGTTCAAAAATACCGGATATTTCTAATGCCAACATAAGCAGAAAACACTTTGGAAAGGGTTTTTTTTAAAGAAGTTTTTCATTATGTCATAATCAAGAAATTCTTTTTCTGTATAGGTCAAGTTTAAACACTTGTGATGCAGTCTTCTTCCAAAGTAGCAGTTAAATCTCCACTATTATCCAAGTGAGAGCAACAATATTATGTCACATGAAGAACTGCCTGATTAAAGTATTCAGGCTCCAAAAGAAGTTCAGCACCACTTAGTATCTGGAAGTGTGTTGTCTCAAACTTGGAACAAAATAATAATCTCAGATGTCTAGATTTAAACACAGGGCATAAAAAACACCTTGGTAAGTTTCCATGCCCTAAGTAAGGTTTTATTTATGTAACAATTATTCAGATGCATTGCTCTATGCTAGACCTGAGGTATTGTTATAAACAATGCCATTACATCATATTTTGATAATAGCAAGTTAAATAGACGGAGAACAAAATAATCTACACCACTTATTTCAACAGAAATTCCAATTCCAGCAAAGTTAAAAAAAAAGGGTGGAATTGGAAAGGAGTAAACCTCATTAAATTGATTAAATGCAACATTATGTGTGGGAATGAAAAGAAAATGGGAATAGTACTAGGAGTTGCTGTTTTGGACAAGACAGAAAACACAGAAAAGAGCATATCACCACTATGGATGAAAGCCAAAATATTTGCCCAGACATTTTATGATTTATTTTTCATTAAGCAAAACAGACAAATGTCTAGAAATTCCATAAATCAGGGAAAGGAGGAGGAGGACTGTTGGCCTCTTGATATTTGTATTGGACAGTTGTTGTTTTTCTCGAAGGGCTAGTCTACATTTTAAAGTTAACTAGGATTAAGGTAGATGTGAATTCAAAGCGCAAAAGCTATTATGGAATAACTCCATGTGTAGACAAGTCCTAAGAGTGAGGAGAATTTTTAGTGAGGCTGGTCTCTGTGCAAAGCAAAAGAGGTACCTCAGGTAGGCTTCTTGAGGCACTTTTGGAGATGAAGGGAGATTGAGTAATTTATCACTGGAAGTCTTAACAGTTAGGATGGTGCCACTTGTCCCTAAAAGACCATAGAGGATTTTACCAGATATAATAGGGGGAATTATGTTGGGGTACCTGTTCCAGCAGGAGACTAGAAAAATCATAGATGCATGACAAGGAGAAATGGTGATAGAGAAGGCCTTATGACACATTTAAGGATGGCACTGTGAGAAGGTCACTAAGTAATTCTTCTTCCATTGAGGAATGTCCACCACTCCTGTCTTTTCAAGCAATTTCAGTTGAGATAAGCAATTAGCTTATGCATCAGAACAACAGCTAGAGCAAGGAACTGGTTATATTTTATTTTTTATAAAATTAAAATACCGAGATTCCCTTCTACAAAATGCCTGAGTGAGTTTATTTATACAAGTTTAGATAGCGATTATCCAAAATATGAATTTGTAGGTAATTTTTTTATAGCTGCATTCAGGTAAATAATTATCTGTGTTAACAAGAAAAAAATACTTCTAGAATATCAGATTTTTAAGGCCCCAATCCTGCGAAGACGAAGGCATGTGTTTAACTTCATGCATATGGGTAGTCTCATTGACTTCAATGGGATTATTCAAATGCTTAAAATTAAGCACCTGCTTGCATGCTCTGCTGGATTGGAGCATAAACGTAAAACATACGGTTTAAAATAAGTACACAAGTTGTTTCATTACACTAAAAATTCAAGTGTTAAATGAATATGTTTGTTATTCTCCGGGCGGACCACACATTCTGAAATGCTCCTTAAATAATTCAAAACTTCATTCCTTTTCTTGCATCATGAACTTGTGAAGTTTCTGAATGTTAAACTTATAAAATACAGCATGTTCGAAAGGCATGGAGACTGTTGTAGAACATAAGAAATCTCTACCATCACCATTACCTTGGTTAATGAGTCATACCTGAATGATTGGCAATGACATCTAACTGGAATACTTCTGGAGAATAGCAGTTCCAGCGATCATGCGATACAGATACCCATTCCATAAGCTGATCTATATGTTGTTTATAGAGATCAAGAAAACCACTCAAATGTTGCACCTGAGCTAATGAACACATTGATGCCTCTACCTGTTTAAAAACAAACAAAAACCAAAGTAGGTGAAGTTAACCAAAGTGTCGGTTTAAAAAAAACTTTTTTGGAAATTTTTGATGAAGCTGACCATAATGTCATCACCATCAAGAATTCAGAGAACAGCATAGGCACATATGTAAGTATCAGTTATTTTTAGTTTTTAAATAAAATATAAGAAAATTCAAGAGACAAAAAAACCCTCACGGTTTCTTAATAGGGCAGTCATGGTCAATATTTAAACATCGTTTATCACAGTATTATACCAGTTAACTTCAGTTTTAAAATGGAATTTTTTTTTGACTTCCCTATGACATCACACAGAACACTGCAATGCAACATCAAAACTGATGAAACTCACAGTGTCACATAAAAGGACCTCACAGCCAACCAAAATTGTAAAAACAGTTATTTTTCCATGCAGGTAAGTAGTGGTTTCCTCCGCAACTCAATAATGCTTAAAACACTTATATAGGTGACCTCTCTCCAGCAAAAATAACTGGATGTGGTTGCCTCCAAAGCCTATCACTACTACTTCTTGGCTCAGCCAGAATGTTTTTTTAGAAAAACATGCTAGGTGCTCCATCTTCCCAGAGGCTGAGCATGCTGATTTTGCAGCACTCCCAACTCCTGCCAGTTTGGGGACAGTATTGACATTAACCTTCTTCATTTTTACAATTCACAATTTTTACCAATTCCATTAATTCAGTGAGGAAAAAGTGAAACATGTAAATAAAGAAACACCAGATGAACATGCAAGCTACAGTTATGTGTTTTGCAAGAAAGCATAAGGATTTTCATAGTAATCTATAACAGAGGTGTATTCATGCATAAAATTGTTTGCTTTTATAGCTCCTTAAGTCTCTTATCCAAAGTACATGTCCACTAAAGATGTGATTCAAAGCTCACTGAAGTCAATGGATACACTCTCACTGACTTCAGTAAGCTTTGGATCAGGCCCTATGGGCCAGATTGTGATATCCTCACATTGAGCAGTACCTTAACTTCACAAGGAGCCCCACTGACTCCAATAGGACTACTTATGGTGTAAGACTGAATTCAATGTGAATATGGGTGACATAATTTGGCCTTAAACAGTTAACTGCAATTAAAATTACATGCATTTGTTTTGCTGTTTTTAAACTGTACTCAACTGTTCTGGTGTCTGGCCCCTTTAGAATTTTGAAGATAGATCGCTGGCCTGACAAGTCATTATGGAAGTGCCAGATGTGAAAAGATTTTAGAAAAGGCAGGATTTGCTAAGTACAAAGATTATACTTTAAGCGACTTTGCCTGCACCCAAGACAATGGATTGCTCCTTTCTGTAGGATCTTTGCATTCTAGTCAAAATTATTCAATACTTGTGTTCTAAAGTATTTTTGTTGATCTGTAAATAAATCATACCATTCCACAAGACTGAGCTGTGTATCTGAGATCAAAACCGTTGTCTATCATTCCGTATATAAACAATCACAATAAACTTTTCCTTTTTCCATGAAAAAAAAATAAAGTACAAAATGATGTAATTCCAGTCAAGGATACAATAGAAGCATTGTTCACAGGTGGTTTACAATAAACTGTTCAAACTTTCCATTTGTGCTAGTAACATAGGAGGGTACACGTTAAATCCACAGATAGGCAAATGTGCAGCATTAGCTTCACAGCCTTGTAATACATTTGACTGAGTCTCTTAAGAAAACCGGCAAGGGTTTTAATTTCTATAAATATTCAAAGAGATGAACTTACAGTACTGTGACATAGACCTACCTGTAAGTACAAATACTGAATTATCCTCATACCAACAATCAAAATGGACCTGATGAAAGGACTAGATGACTCACAAGAGTGGTAAAGGAATATAAAGCCTTTAAACTGCTATATCACCAGTTCAAATCTGGACAAGTTCAGTATTGATCTAACAGAGCTGCTATCTGATGGCTGAAATGAGTTCCATCCATCTAGAAAATGGAGGACTACCAACTAAGCACTGTGCTTAATATAGTGCTTAGTAGGTGGTCTTACCCCATTTTCATGGTGCTTAGTTGATGGCCTGTCTCCATTTTCTATAGGACAAGTAAATAATGTAAAATCTAGCTCTTATTTAGTGCTTTTCATTGATAGATTTTAAAGCACTTTACAAAAGGAGCTCAGTATCATTATCCCCATTTTACAGATGGGGAAACCGAGACACAACATAGTGACATGGCTTGCCTGAGGTCGCTCAGCAGGCCAGCGGCAGAGCTGGGCATAGAATCCAGATCTCGGAGTCACAGTCCAAAGCTCTATGCACTAGGCTTCACTGCCTCCTGCAAAGAAATCAGTGCCATCGCTAACTGATCAGCAGAGGAGCTAAAATCGAGTATGAAGAGTAGAATGCACTATTCTCTTACAATTAGAAGCACATGAGAGAATCATTGATGCCCCACCAGTGTCTCTCTGCAGCCTCCTTAAATAATAACCTGGAGGTTTAGTAATTCAAAGGTTCAGGTATATTCACAAGATCTTTTGATCCTGAATAAGGAACTCTTCTCAGAGCAACATATTTCTACTTTTAAGCTAGTTGTAAGCCATTTGTATTCTACGGACAAACTATTTCAATAGGGTATTTTGCTTTTTGGAGATGTTTATATGGATTGTATAGCAGCCTAGGGCACAAAGCATGAAATGCATTATGTAAAAAAAGCATTTTATTGTCCTTTGTGGAGGTTTTGGAAGAAATACACAAGAAATATATTGAAATTCTTAGATCATTTAAGGTAGAATTTATGGGGCTTCACAAAACATAAGCAATGCTCTTCCTTTTAAGTGTGGAACAGATTAATAATGAGGGAAGAAGAATCTGAAGATATACAAACCACAGTTGAATAAATTCTTGACATAGCCTTAAGCATTATGAGGCTGATATTTAGAGATACTGAAAGCGGCAGCCCATTTTGAAGTTGTTGGGAGTTAGGTACTCAGTAACTGAAAAATCAGGTTATATTTGTCTTTGTGACAAACCTGAAATATTGGAACTACCCAATCTCATCTGTCTTGCTGAAAAAAAGCTAACGAGAACAAAGAATTTCATCCAAAGTAATGTCAACTGGAAAAAAAAATCTGTAAATATAATATCCAAAGCCTTTAATAATTGTAGGGGATTTTCTTTGTTTTATGCAAGAACCAGAATTTATCTCCATGAAACTGCTTTACTTCTAGGACTATGGATTTGCAAAGTTTGGAAAGTGGGCGTGTCCACACTATTGCCCATTCTGTAGCCAAAAACTGCAGAGATGCGTAACATACAAATATTTTTGTTTGGGGACTCACCCATTCACAATTAAGTTTATAAAAATGTATCCCAGATTAGTTCCTTGTGTAATTTGACTTTGAGTTTGAAAGAATCTCTTGCACCTTGTTTCAATACTTGTGTAAGCTTTGTTTCATTTCTCCCTTTCAGATTAACTTTCAAAGGATATGTCGCTTTGGAAGAAGACTGTTGGTAACAGGACCATAATTACTGGTAAAACACAGGTCTTTGGACTATAATGCCTGAAAGCAATACAAGAGGAAGTAGAACAGCTATCAAATTAAGGAGCAGGTTAAACAAAAAACAGACTTGGGTAGGCCACCACGGAGTTATAGTGAGTAAGGATGGCTTTCTGATTTAATTGGCATTTAACTTTTTGGGGGGAGGATTTGAAGGAGGGGAAGAGAATGAAGGAGATGAGATAATGGTTAGAAAAAAGGACTACTTATTATCACAGCCTCTTTAGATGTTGTCCTTGATGTTAGAGAATGACTGCAACACCTCTTAAGATTTCTTATGAGAGGTGAATAGGTCAACTACTGTAAAAGCCTCAATGTTTGGTGAAGGACAGAAAAAAAATCCATTTTGAAACTCATTTTTTTGGACTAGTAGTTTGATTGTTCTTCTGTGGCCAGAAGAGAACTTGGGTCCAGTCTCAAAGGAATGTATTGTTAAGCAGGGCCCCCCTAATGCCACATGATTGTTTGCCTTAGACCACACTTGGGGGTGCCCTGCTTTCAGCCTTCACCAGGATGACTCTCTGCAAAACTTCTTTGCTTTTTTCATCAATATCTGGTCTAGAAGACTAACAATCTTGGATTTGAGGTCCTTTTTAGGGGTTACCTTTTCCCTTCAGATGAACCCCTTCTCCCAACATTAAAGGTTTGGTTCTGTAGTTTCTTTATGACAGTGGGTTATTCAGAACACCTTTAAAGGAAAGATTCCTGTTCATCTCACCAAAACAGAGTCCTTGATGTGGCAAAATAAAAAGCAGCTCAAGTAAGGCATCTCTCGACTAGTTCATGGTTCTCTACAGGCAACTTTGGAGATTTTGCAGTTGAAGCCGTGAAAGGATATGAAAGCAAAAGGCCACCATAATCAAATGGTACAGCCCAAACTTCCCTTATTTAGTTCTCTTCCCCTTCCGGGATGCAATTATAATGCTTTACTGGCCACTTGTACATATATAGGAGAGCTTGCTTTGAGTCAAAAACAATATTGCGAGGAGAATATGTTTAGACGGTTTGAATTTCTTTCTAGCCTGGTGAAAAAATTGTGGCTGAATCAAGCTGTTATAATCTTCTTTAGCTACACATTATAGTAAAACAGATTTCTGAACGTTAGTCTCCAGGCCAGACAGTATTGCCTCATGGACTCATCAGTTTAGGCATACAATTGAGAAATGTTGACTTTTTGGGAATAGAGATACAATGGGGAAAATTTGTTCCTGGAGCATCTTTGAGAAGGACTTAGATGAAACAGGAAAATTCTGAGGGATTTTCACTGCTATCTTTAAAAGAGAAAGTTAGATTAATTTCTAACAGGAAGAGTGAACTGGGTGAAGAGTCTAACCTGTGGATGCTTAACTTATGATGCCTAAAATAAAAAGTTGTTTGATCTTATAAGATATTCATAGTCAGTAATGCATCTTCTGATAAGAATTCCCCTCTTTAAAAGTGTTACATAAAGTGGTTATAATACCTACCTGTCTTGTAATAAAATAGGATTTGGCTCCCTCACAAGGGTGTTATAAGACTTTAATTGAATGTTTGATAAGCAATTTGAGATCCTGGGATGAAAGGCACTATATGACTATAGTGTACTACATATGATGATAATAATTAGGGTTTTTTTAAAAAGAAAAACAAAACAAAAAACCTCTAGAAGAAGAGCACAGCAGTTATGAGGGGCTTCTGGTAAGAGAATCAGGAAATAACAGAGTTACAGAACACCTTAGAGCTGCTTGATATATTAAAACAGGAAATTTCAGTGTCTGGACTGGTGACTAACAATAATACTCTCTTATACAGCTGTCTTAAATCCTCAGAATGCTTTCAAAACATTAGGCAACCTTAGCAACAGCCCTGTGAAGATAGCTGGGAACAGAAAAGTTTAAGGACTTGCTCAAGACCAAAGTCCTAAATCAGAGCTGCAATTAAGAACTAAGGAATTCCACAGTTTCACTCCTATGCTAAGATAATTAGTCCATGCCAACCTCTCACTCTTGCAACAATAGACAGAATATGCTGAACTTGAAAGAACTGTAAAAATAAATAAATAAAACCACTACTGTCCTACGGTTCAGATCCTCGGCTGGTATAAATCATGTTTTTAATTGAGCTATAACGATTTATGCCAGTCAAAGATCTGGCTCTAGGTATTTCAGTAAGGGTCTTTACTCAAACTAAAACCAAAGGAACTTTTGGGGAAATGAATGAGCAGACAGACAGCGTTTATAGCATTCTATGTGCGCCCCTGGGGCCACACATTGACTGAATCTTCTGAACTCTTTAATCTTTACTGCTCAGCTCTGAGTTAAGCGCTTGCAAGGCTTGAAGCCTAAGAGCAGGGAAATTTATTGAGGTTACTTACATTACATTTAGACAAAATCGTCTTACCAATAGTAAAAACAAACCAACCAACCAACCAGGATTTTACTCATTTAAAACACCCATTCACAGTTAGTGTCACCTTTTCATGAAGATGTTCGATGCGTGGTATTGCCATTATTGTCACCAAAACTTTCATTAGCTGCAGGCTAATTTCTTTGCAGTCTTCTTGGCACACTTCAGTTATCGCTTGTACGCAACAAAGCAATTGTTCCATATAAAAGTTCTACAAACAAAAAGCATTAAACGTGTGAGTTTTGTTAGACAACGTTAGACACCCTTTCTGTCACAGGCCAGTAAAATGGACACAATCCTCTTTAAAAGTCAGGTATTAGTAGATGACAGTAATAAATAAGATAAATTCTACATATCCTGCTAAATCGGATGCCTATTTATTGTTCCAAACATAGACTCCACAATTCACTCCGTTTTATAATGACTGATGGGGCATTTTTTGTAGAGCAACAAATTAACACTCTCTTCCCATGCTTTTTGCTTGTAGAAGTGGTTACCTTGTCCTGTTAAGAAAAAATAAGGATCATCCTGCTAGCCACACAATGACTGCTATATGCTGGATAAATACATTAAAGAATTTTGGGGTTCCTAGGAAGATGTTCATCTTATCCTGAAATGGAACTCTAACTTCTAATGTTTCTGCTGTGCCAATTTCAAATGTTGTTCAAATTTCTGAACATATCAAGTAGCATAGTGATATTGAAATACACAGAAACAAGGAAACCTGAAGGTCTGTCTCCCACCTAATTATTGCAACATACTGCATAAAATCCTGGCCTCACTGAAGTCAATGGGAGTTTTGCCATTGACTTCAATGGGGCCAGAATTTCACTCAAAATTCTTGTCAGTTTGCAAGTCTTCTGTAACAAAGCATAGAAAACCACAGTAGGCAGACGTTCCAAGATTTGCTATACTCTATCAGTGAGAGAGACCATTGTCATACGACTGGTTGGCTCCACTTCCAAAAAGAAAATAAATAAAACTGGAGAATACTCTTACCTATAAATGGTATTTATCTGATGTAATTTATATAGCACTCTCTCACGATGATAGAGAAGAATTATTTCTCAAATAGAAAAGTTAGGACAACTCTGCCAAAAGCTGCACTGACAAATGAACGTGGGTGTGTCTACTCTCTATATTGTCTAATAGAGAGAATTTATAGAAGATCACGTGGCACTTTTTGCAGATCTGTCCTATGGACTCATTGCTTGAACACCCGGAGGTGGTGCTTCCAGTGAAGTAGATCCCTAAGAATAATGTATTTCAGTGTGATTAAGGCCAATTCTGAGCATTCTAAGCATCGTTCCATTAAAACAAGGACTTAAAGAACTACACTGTCTCAAAGGGAGAATTAAACAGATCCTGTAACACTAGAATAATCTTCTTAAAAGGAATTATAAATCTGACAATAGGCTACAAAATCTTCTGGAGACAAGGTATTGGCCAACTGCATATCCCTGAAGATCCCCTGCTAGTCATTCTAAGGGCAGAGACTTAACATTTCAAACTCCTGCTGGAAAGAAAGCTAGAATTTTAATTAAGAAGGCTTGGTAGACTGTATGGATTTTTCTTGTATACCAATAACAGAACACGTTGCAGATCCAGAAACAGAAGAAAGGGGTGAAGAACTCCTGAATTTCTGTAATTTCAACTGTTACACTAGAGAGCCCACTCCATATTGGAGAAAGAAGCTGTCATACACCAAGCTGAAAGGGTCAAGATACTGAGATCTAAGGGTCCTTTCAGCTGAACTCTTTCAGGTGAACAGTTACATTTCCTTCGCCTGTGTTAATTATTCTGTATGTAACAGGAGAGGAAGTACACCAAAGGGAAAAAAAAATACATGCAATGCCTTAATGCTAATTAATTGTACATCACTTTAACTATATGGCTCACAAAGAATACAGGCACTTCAAAATAGTATAGTAAGAACTGCCTTCAGGCTCACATCCCATGAAATCCATCTACTGCACGTTAGTTATGTGTGTGCATAAGAGCAATTTTATCATGTTGGAAGTGTCTTCATCCTGCATTTTTAGGATGAAGGAACCCAAACCTAGGAAGCTTAAATCCTAAAGTTTTTTTGCAAAGAGTGTTCCTAAATGCACATTTAAACATACTGACCATTGCCTTTTAAAAATCAAATATTAATATCCAAAAAAAACTAGCATTAATAAAAGGAAGCACTTCTCTTTGTGAAATATAACATGCCAATCACTATTGCCAAGAAAATGCTTTGTATCAATCATTTTTATTTAGCTGGACTGCAGGGCTGGGAAGGGTCAAAGTACATTCATTTGTTTGGATTCTGTACACGATGAACTTATCAAAACAAGGGCCAAATGGTGCTTTCGGATTAATCCAATTGACTCCCACTGCAGTACATGGGAATGATGTTCATAGGTTTAAAAGCAGAAAGTTAGCCTAATGTAGATAACTTGAAGTTCTGATGTCAGGGAAAATATCAATATCTTATAACAATATTAACTAAGACCTAAATAACCCAGTGTAGTTTGAACTGATCATATGCAAGACTGTGTGCAAACTGACAATCACAAATGAAAGACTTGTTTGCACAATAATTTAAACAGAACTTCTATTATTTTGGTATTTCCATGGTACGAAAAGGGGACTTGTCACTTTAGAAAATTTTACACACAATTTTGCAGATTGAAAAAAATAAAGTTATATTAAGGTAAGGTACAGTCTAACTCAGTGGTTCGCAAATTACGGTATGTGGGCCACAATCAGGAGGCACCCAGGTGGATTTGAAGTATAGTATGAGTACACTTAAAAACAACAAAAGTGGTTTGCCAATCACTTTTGGCAATTTGGTATGCTAAGACTTAAAATCTGAGAACCAGTGGTCTAAGTCCTGGCTGTTTTGGATTTTCCATTTATCCTTACCTCTTCAGATCGCTGACAGATCTCAGGTTGTGAGAGTGTGTTGGCAAGATAAGACAAATGAGGCTTTAAGACTTGTCTTGGGCAACCTCGTATCACTGCAGCTAGAATCATGAGATAAGAAGGCATAGGTGTTTTTTCAAGGGCTGACATCAGTAACTTCAGAGATACCTTAGGGCTAACAAATGTTCCAATCAACTCTGCTGCTTTCACACACTGTAAAAGAGAATAAATATAACTTGAGGATTATTTTGAAAACACAAAGACCATTCATCATATCCTGGCCCTTCCTCTTTTTATGATTCCAGCTGTTTTTTAAATACTTCAGCAATTGGCTTATAGGCCTTTCCGCTTACTCAGTAATGACTACATGCTTGAAAAAATTTTCTTGACATGTGTTCAGAAAGCTCATAATAAGGCATGCAAGCACCCTTCTCAGCATCAGACTCAAACTTTCATGAGAAAGTTGTAAAGCACAGTGTAATAGATCTCTAGCTTAGGGTGACCAGATGTCCCAGATTTCCTGGTTCAGGGTCCCCCCGACCTCTGCAAAAACAGGTCTGAGGCACTGCCCCCACCCTGATTTTTATTTATATATATAACCAACTCAAAAAAGAAGTAATCCATTTTTTGTTGCATTCACACTCTTCTCAAAACTGTGTTTTAGAGAAGCACCTTTGTATCCCTCTCTGGCATGCGGAGGAGTCAAGTATACGCGGCAGCCTAGTGATAGCATTGTGTACTCCATACAGGAAGAGCCTGCTGCTTTCAATCTTTCATTCTTGTAGCTAGCAGGGCTGCCAAGTACTATGTATCCCTCTCTGGCATGCAGAGGAGTCCCAGGACCCAGGCTCCAGCACAAGCCTGAACGTGTACACAGCAACTGAACAGCCCCACAGCCCGATCCCGAGTCAGTTGACACAGGCCAACCATGGATGTTTAACTGCAGTGTAGACATACCCTTAGAATCCCCTAACCCAATGCTCAGGCATTGGTTCAGTGATGACTCCCAGGGCAGAGAATGCCCCTAATTGAATTACCAGTACTGCTTCCTACAGCATTCTGAGTTTTTCTTCCTCCAAGTACTGATCAGGTGCACCTCTGCTTAGCTTGTGAGAACAGACTCAACTTCAGCCTAAAGTGGTATGGCTCAGGACCAGACACGTGGAGAGAATGGGTGTGAAGAGATCTAAAATCTAGTATATGGGAGGAGGGTGCAGTCTGTGAGAAGAGAAGGAATGCAGAGGGTGCAGAGAGAAGTAAGGATAAGAAATGGGATCCAGACTCCATTTGGCTTCAATCATAGCACTAACCCATATAGAAGCTTGATTTGGAAAACCAACCTTTGTTGACATTGCCTGGACTATCTGCAGCCAGTATATGTGAAAGTAACAAAACCTGGAAATTGGCAATGGAACTTTTTGCTACAGCTTATTTTTCGTGTGTTCTGGTGGCAGTAAAAAGAAATAAACGGGAACAAGATTTAGTTCTTAAAATTATTAAAAAATCTGTCCTTTATACCCTTTGAAAAATTTGGTTTAATTATTTTGTAAATGCGGCCATGACTGTTAATCTATAAAAGTTTTGCCTGTTGATAAAAATCAATAAGAAATGTGTATTTTAAGGCACTGGCTTACATAAATCTATTAGAAAAAGTGTTCTATTTCTTGTCTAAACACAACAGTGGGAAGGAAGCATTTACTTGTATAACTGATGTATCTGAACACTGATGGCAATCAGACGAAATAAACATACCTTAATGTTATGGTTAGATTATGCACTAAGAGATAACAAGTGAAATTAACTAGAAAGGGCATGAACTGCACATATTTTTAAAATGGAATGTGTTGCCCCAAGGCATTGACACTTAAATCTGCTGCTTATGATTTTTAAGAGGCTGTTAATGCTTCATTTGTTGGCATCAGAGGTGAAATAGTCTCAGTTTTGGTCTTCACACGAATCATACAAAAATAAAATTTATTTTAACAAATACACATAAAATCTACAAAATGTTTAACATCCTCCCTAAAAACATTTAAAACTACTGGGGGTCTTGATCATGCATCTGGCAAAACTCTTACTGAGTTCAACATAATCACTAGCATCATCTTTTCCCATAACAATATTTCTTTGAAACATTTTGTAAAAGAAATTCAAAGCTCTATTAACAAGTGGCAATTGTAACATTATTTTATATCCTGTGGGAAGAGTGAGATGGCAACTCATCAGTTTAGGACCCTTGAAAGAAACGAGAGGGGAGAGAAATTATAGGCCCAGTTCACTCATGTTGTTAATTGTTTGTGTGTCGAATGCTCCTTTGAGCCCAATTACAAGATGGGGACTTTTCCCAACATGTTAAATTTTAAAATATCATTTTACTTATTTTCAGTTCATTAAAAATAGATTAATTTAAGCCATATGGACCCAATCCTGAGCACTTCCCTCTCCTCCCCTAGACTTCAGTGAGAACTGAAGGAAGTAGCCCCATACAGGACACACTCAAGACTATTTAAGATTGGGTCTCTAGGGTATTGTAGATATCTAAAAAAGTCAAACTTACATTTCTAACCACATTATTCTCTTCATCTAAGCATACTCGGTACAAAGTTCTAAGCAGTAGCTCCATATGCTGTGTAATGTGATCCTCTGCATGTAGCAACAATATAAACAGAAGCTGAGATGCTTTTATTCTGGTGCCTTCAACCCAGTCTGTTACATCGTGACAGAGACCTGGAAGAATTTTGGAGAGGTTTCTTGTAACAAGCTCCCGACATCCCAATTCTGGTCGAACCACTAGAAGAAGAAAAGAAAAAAACAAAACAAAACAAAAACAGAAGAAAAGTTCAGGAAAATCACTACAAATGCTTTGCAGAAAATTTTAGAAAAGGTTAATGGTGTTGATTCATAACAAAAGTAATATCTTCTCTGCTTCTACGTGAAGTACATGATTCAAAGCACTGCATGTGGCTTTATCTGAGAGAGTGCCATTGACTTCAGTAGCATTGCTCAATTAAAAACTCCATTTTACACTTTGAAAATGTAGTTATTTAATAAGTAATATTAATACCACCCAGGTGTTATATAGCAATTTTCATTAGTAGAGCTCAAAGCACTTATATGATTGGAAAGTTGGTGTTTACATTACATGCTTTATTTAAAAAAAAATTATAAAGGAGAGAGGAAGGAAAATAAGAAGCTCACCACCCAACATGGCAAATGCATTTTAGCCAATCTCAAAGCATATAACACAAAAAGATAATCTCCTTTTTACTGTTATAATGCCAGAGAGGTTTGATTTTAAAAATCAAACGGAAGCAAACAAAGAAAAACAAGAAAAGCTGGACTTTTTCAAAACAAGCTTGGTGGTGTCAGTGGCTCAGACATAATCTGAGACAGCAAGCAGCAGTCAGAAGACTTTGAAATAGCATGAGAAACATTATATACAGGTTTCAAAAAAGAAAAAAAAATTCTTTTCAGGGTGTCAGAACAGAGCAGGAATTGGCGAATGTGCCTCCTTGTACTTCATATTACTGATATCGTAATCATGTCTAAACCCCCTAAAATAAATTCTTCAATTGTCTCAGGGCATTTTGCTTATATGGCTTTAAAAAAAAAATGCTTATCATAGGTAAACTGCATTGGGTATAAAAAAAGATTGAAATCGGACAAGGTGAAGAAAGGTTTATTAAAAATGCCTATGAAGTACCTATTTAAAATAAAATTCTTTAAAACATAAGAGACTGTTTGATTATTGCTTCTTTTGTGTATGGAAGAGAGCACTTGGGATTATAAAAATTGACAATGAATAGCAAAGGTCAAATGAAGAAATCTGCTTGAGAAAACAAATATGGAGTGGCATTCTATTTGACCTGAGGCAGAAGGTCTTTTTAAAGGATTCTGACCATTCCTTTTCAATAGTTCCTTCATTTCAGATGTTCAAATGCAGACATTTAATCCCTGTAGCTACCTGCTGTCAAAGAATTTTTCCCCTTCACTATAAACTGTTTGCACCTGTATCCCAAGGCAATGGTTGCTCAATGGAAAGTCATTCAGTTGTTAAGATGGCATTGAATATTAGGGCAGTCTTCAACCTCCCTCCCGCCCCTCCCCCCCCCCCCCCACCCACCTGCAGTGTCTGTCATCATGAGATCAAAGCACAATAAGGCTGAGGTGTCAGGTTCATTAGCTTGCGAGTACAAAAGGGTGGTTAAAGAAAATGCATTATAGCCCATAATGGAAAAGGAGGAATTCTAGATGTTGAAATATAGATTTACAATGAATCACTCATTATCATGGAATTCTTTTTAAAATACGTTTTGAAAAGGAAGCAAATAGAGGCAAGTGTTAAAACATAATTACAAAGAATAAAAAGGAACTTAAAATACCAGAAACTGAAATATAAAACATATGGTACAGATACATAGCTAAATACAAATCTTGCAACAAGACACCACAAATTCCTAATCTTATTTCAAGACATACATAAGACTCAGTGGTAAATCATCCTTTTCTCTTTTATCATGCATAGCTAGAGAGACACTATCAGATGCAATTTGGCAGTAAAAATAAATGGCAGGAAGGAATCTTAAAGTAATTATTAACTTCTTAGGACTGAAGTACAAAATTACTAGGTAATTTCCTCAGAATGCTCTGCAATTATCTATTAATCTTTTCATTGAAGACTTAAATGCAAAACTTTAGCAAGCAAGATGAATACAAAAACTGATGCAACTGGGCAGCATGGGCGGTGGGGGGTGCGGTTTGCCCAACATTGCGAAACACTTTTGTTGTGATCAGAACATTGTCTCATACAGCTCTGTAGCAAAGACTGGCTCATGAAGTAGCTCACTTTCCTACCAGTGGTAAATGCCATTAAAATAATTCCACTAGAAACAAGTTAAAAAAATGATGCAATTAAATACTAACAAAAATGTTATTTTAACTAATATGTTGCGCCAAGGTTCCCTCTTGTGGTATGTTTTATCTTTCATGGTAGGAACACCAAAACTGATCCCGCTTTGCTGTTCCCCCATCAATCTCACTCATGAGATGCTATACTATAACACGTTTCAGAGTAGCAGCCGTGTTAGTCTGTATCTGCAAAAAGAACAGGAGTACTTGTGGCACCTTAGAGACTAACAAATTTATTAGAGCATAAGCTTTCGTGGACTACTGCATCGTGGACTTCGGATGCATCCGAAGAAGTGGGCTGTAGTCCACGAAAGCTTATGCTCTAATAAATTTGTTAGTCTCTAAGGTGCCACAAGTACTCCTGTTCTTTTTGCAGATACAGACTAACACGGCTGCTACTCTGAAACCTACCATTACCTAAGTAGCACTTGCTTGACAAGGGGCATGGGTTACAAAACCCAGTGAATGGAGAGAGGGTGGGGACAGGTATGGGCCCCCTCTGAGGGCCTGACACACCAATTGCACTACCTCCTCTCTCCACTGTTGAATGTCAGAGCTAA